ATACATGTGCTCACGCACTTGCTGGTGAGCCACACGCGTTCAGACGGTGCCGCTCCACTGGCCCGCGGATTTTCCCCAGTAAACACAGTCGGTCCTCCCTACCTGGCTTTTGTATCCCGGGCATCCGACCACCTGCCGATTGAAAACTTCTGCGTTGGCGACCGCACCTTCCCACCCGCGGGATTCCCAGCCGCGGCTTCCCGCGTGCACGCGCGCGCGCATTCCCAGCCGCAGACTGGAAACAGTGTCTTCGCGCTCCCAGCCACCGACTCCCACCCGCGGAGCAAAAATACTGTTTTCCAACCGCGGTTGGCTGACTCGGTGGATGCAAAGTGCAGACTGGATGGAGCCAAGCTTCGAGGGAGTCAAAGGTTATACTCGGGTTTTCCGCCGCTGGGGGCGGGCGCTCCTAACGCCCACCTGGCTCCAGGGTTAACTGTACCTTCAGGTCTTTGGATAAACATGGAAACTGTCCCGTGGTAAGGAACTTGGAAACTGTGTCACCTGTGAGAGGAACCACCCACTGTACATTGCCAGAAATACTATACGTTGTTTTCTAGCATGCGTATAGCGAGTTACTTCTACTCAAAAATTAAACTTTTAAACTGGACATACTTTGATTAAAGCCCATAAGTGTATAAAATAGCAACTATAAAGCCTCTACTTCGGTTCTTATAATAATATTTAACTCTGGTCAAGTACTCTCTATCTGTTTTAAGTGCTTTTATGTATTGACTCATCTTAAGTTACAAAGTGAGGTAGCAACTATTATTATTTCCCTTTAAAGAGGCAGGGTCCAGGCTCACAGAGGCCAAGGAGCATAATCAAGGTCCCACGACTAGTGACAGGTCCTGAAACTAATTTGGGCATCTTAGTTTAAAATTACACGCGTGCTCCGCCGGGCGTGGCTCAGCGGTTGAGCATTGACCTAGGATCCAGAAGATCGCGGTTGGATTCCAGGTCAGGGCACATGCCCGGTTCAGGCTGGATCCCCAGCAGGGGGCGTGCAGGAGGCAGC